CATGGATATAATACTATTTATCTCTGTTCTGTGATGGCTAACAACTCTCTTCCCATTCCACAAACAGTAGTTCAGGGGAGTTTGTAAATCCATATCAATGTACAGCATTTGAATAAACCCTTTCTCCATAGTCATGGTTATTGCCTGATGGGTTGTCCCTTGACCTCATTTCTGGCAGCTTCTTTCTGAATGCATGGATTCACTAACGTACAGTAACAACAGAGACCGGAGCTTTAGACCTGGAAATGTTTTGTTTTTGAAACACAAAGGATGTGAGTAAAAACATGAAGAGATCAACAATATTAACAAAGAGATTGTTGTTGAATTTGAGCTGTTCCTGGATTTGTAAAACAGTGATTTTGAACAGATTTACTGTTTTTAAATACAGCTATGACTGCAACTGTTTTTACAAATATTTACTTTTTTAAAGCACTATAGTAAATTGCTAATTTGTGATTAATATATTTATTACTACTTAAATAGCTTAGTGTACAAATTAGTTCTCTTCAAAATGAATAAAAAGCTTGCTGTAAAAATGCTATGCACTTAAGGTGCAATATAGTATCAAAGAGAGCAGTGGTATCAAGAAATGTGTATGCCAGGTATGACATGCTATAACAGGGCTTTTGGAGCATATGCCATTTAAAGATGTCTTGGACTGGTTGGCCTGACATTCTTGTAGTGCCGAATCATTACTTAGATGTTCTGCAAATGAAATTATGGAGTTTCTCTTAGTTTCAAATGTAAAGTGGCCTTTTGTTGTAAAAACTATGAGTCACCTGCATTGCTGAATGATTTGGGTAACCCTTTGCTAACCCAAACTACACTTGCATTGTTTCTCTTCATTGTAGACCATAAATCTTGCCTTGCCTAAATCATACTTGATTGTAGTATGGAGACAAATGGAAAAAATCTAATTAATTTAAGTTATTATTTATTTCAATTATTAGTGTTTTAGATTTAAAATTAACATTTAATTTTTAATTGTAATTTCAACTGAGACAACTGAGAGCATGTATAAGTTCAATATAACTGTTTTGCCCTGTTTTGTGTTCATTTTAACAGTTAAAATAGTTAATAGTTTCTTGGCTTTATCTTATTTTCTTTGAGTTGAATGACCAAGTGAGCGGATCTAAAACTTCTATTGCTTCTGTGGTTTCTAAAATGTCTTTTTAATTTTAAGTTCAGTAACCCTTCAGCAAAGCTTGTGATTCTGTTGTTGGTTGCTATGACTTAAATTCTGTGCAACTCCCTTCCTTGAGGTAAGCTTTTGTTTTTGCTTTGAAAGAAGTATGAAATACCCAACATGGAACAATCTGTAAAAAAACAGCTTTATTTCAAAATCATGTATATCACTAAAGGGCATTTTACTCCCTCCGAACTGTCAGTTACCCCTGAATGTTGAAGAACCTTGTTTGGATATTTTCTAGTAGAGAGCACAAGATTGCTAATTCTGAAGTATAGTATTTGGGAAATGTCCAAGTCAGAGCTTTAAAAAAAGGTTACACACTCATTACACTCACAGGGTTACCAAGGGTTACAAGAAAGCTTTCAGACTCCTTATAATATTCTTGTCTCGTAAAGGCAGTATGAGTGTGGAGAGACTAGGTGCTTGCCAAACTCCCCAGCCTTTGGCTAGAGAGATGAGCCAAGCTGCTATAAATATTAGCAAGACACGTGCTACTACAACCACAAATCCTCTTTTCCTGATTAGTGTTCAGGCACTGATTTAAAAGGGATTAGTTGGAGGCCTTGTTGTCATATCATATGACCATTAAGGGGGCTAGAATTGTGCCCAGGGGACCACAAAGATGAGTTTGGGCAAAGGGTGGAGAGGTCAGGAGTGCTGTCCTTTTTCTCTGACTGCTCTTGAAGTAGCACAATTGTGGTTGTAACACCTTATGGACATCCACTTCCAGTGTGAAAAAGTAATGAGGAGTTTGTGTTTGCCTGTGTAGGGTGTGGACACCACAGCTGCTTGCTGTCTCTGCTGGTGGTTTTGGTGTCATAACGACTTTGGAAAGCCCTCCAGCATAGTGGGATCAAAACCTCCTTTTTTGACCCTGAGCTTTTCCTTTCTGTAACTTTCTATAACTTATGAATTCAGTTTGCTACTGCCATGATTTGTTATATCATCAATAAAGTTAAGTGAGCCAGCTTCAGAAACCTCTATACATGTCAGTGCCATGACATGACCTCCACCATGCTTCACAAATGACGTGGTGTTTTTTGGAGCATGTAGAATGACCATCTTTCTCTATATTTTAACCTTTCCATCACTGTGGTTAAGGCATATCTTGGTCTCATCTGTCCATAAAATGTTATTCCACTCTCTTGGTTTATCTATGTATTTTTGAGGAAATTCTCACCTGACATTTCTGTTCTTGGTGCTGTAGAGAGAAGTCTATCTTCGGAAGTAGCCCTTGCAATAACTTATACTGCACTCTGGATACTTTGGTTTTGATATTTACACCCTTGTATTCTAGCCTTTCAACATGTAGCTCACAGTTGTTTTAGTTGTTTATTTGACAGTTGAGAGTTTTTGTGTCAGCAATTTCAGATATTTTTCTTCACCGACCTGGTGTTTATTTATAGATAATGATAACTGCAGTTTGTTTCTTCTTAAGTGTATTTCAAGTTGTTGATTTTGGTATGTCCAGTTTCTGTGCTCTTTTTCTGCTTTAGTTCTTGATTTTATTCAGTTTCAAAACTGCTTGCTTTTCTTTAATAGAAAGTTGTTTTTAATAGAAAGTTTTGACTCCCAATGACAGACACTGAACACTGAAGCCGCTGAGGCAAGGTGAAATGATGTCCACAGCTCTTTAAAGTCTTAATGACCCAACAACAAATGCTTGACCAACGAAAGACACCTGTCAACCAGCTGTCTCAATACCGTGGCTCTTTCAACAGAGAGGCTTCACGCTATGAATTTGTTTAATTGGCTCAAGACAGTAGAACGGAATCAAATTCATGAAAAAAATACTTTCAGTTGTGCCCATCAGCCATTTTTCCATTTGAAATGTTTAAAGTTTCTAGTGTAAATCTAGTTAAGCCTAACTGTCCCAATACTTGGAGCGCACTCTGTAAGTTGTCCCTGTTTGTTGCTCAGTTGTCAGCGGTATAGTCTGTATGTCCAAGGTTGCTGCACAGCTGTTTGCAGGCTGCTCTTTACTATGCTGGCTTTTAGTACTTATGTCTGCCTTCATTTACTGCAGTTTCTTCTGCTTTTTACAGAACGTGTGCCTCATGAGTGTCATACATACTAGAAGTTTTGAATTAAACTGTTGGAATTTAATTTCTTATTGTGGCACGTGGCTCTATTCATTCTTAGCCTGGTAATTGTAAGTGGAGTCATTTTCACTTATTCCTCCCTTAAAAGTATTATACAAGCTCTTTCCATTTTTGGAATTAACAAGTATTTGAATACTTATCTAAGCAACCAAATAGTATACGCCTCACCACATTGACCCTTTTTTTGAAAGATACAGTAAGTGTTCCTCAGTGGCTATTGTTCACAACAGCAGTTCTAAAGAGTTCCTATCCAGAAGCACTTACATCTTGATTTATACCAGTCTTGATTATTGTAACCTGGTGCATGGTGGTGTATTCAAATGTATTTAAGCTGACACATGTTTAGAACAAGCTGTGTAGAGCTGAACCAAAACTAAAATACACAAGGGTTTTTAATGTTTTGGCTTCCTTGCACTGCCTCTCTCTAGATTTCAGAACACAGGTAACAAATACTCCTGCTCACTTTTAAGGATTTAAACAGTTTGGCTTCTGTTACATATAACATGTTAACCTAGTATTCACCTATACTTCATTTGTGCTGTGTATCTTCTTTGTTGCTAATACTGTGGATGATCATCAAGCCCGTATAAGATCTTGCATGTCAATCAGCACATTCAAATCATTCAAATATATTAAAACTGACCTTTATACTCTATAGGTTTTAATTGTTTAATTAATTAAGGTTTGGTGTGTACTGCTGAAAAAGTGAAGGAATTCCTGTTGAGCTTTTTTTAAAAAGGTACATTGATTCCAGTTCTGTAAAAACTTTATAAAGATCATTAAGGGGTATCAAGCTATTGATTGTAGCTTCCCAGCGTCAAAACTGGTGCAGTGTGCATGATGTGCAGTAGAATAACATTGTTGATTTGAATTAGGTGTTAAAAATAGGAGAAGGCAAGAAGAATGTGGCTAGGGACTACAGTATTTTTTGGTGCTGTATGTGGTCTTGATCATTTGTCAAAGCTCACCTTTTTTAAACGATTTACAGATTCTAGCCTGTTATTCTTAAAGTAAAGTGCACTTTTGACCATAGCAGAAAACATGAACATTTTTATATTTCAGAATTGTCAGTTTTTGAGAAGGTGGGATTAAAAAATAATTCATTTTATGAATTTAATCCTTTATATACCCTGAAACAGTTAAGGCCCAGACACATTGTATATAGCTGGGCATTTACTGAAACAGTCTGAGTAAAAAAAACCTTGCTCAAGGGTACAGCATGACCATCCCACCTGCGTGGATTGTTCACTGTAAATCCACAACCCACTAGGCAGGACACTGCTCCCTCCAGTTCCTCCATTGTGTTTTCTTTCATTTGTACAATTATACTTTGATATTTATCTATTTTTCCTCAGCTTAGTCTCTTAAGATGTTTTGTGTCAGTAAAAGAGTGTCTTCTCGTTGTTGCTTTGTAAGGAAATTGACGTTTATTATAAGCCAGTAATGTGACGTATGTGTGTTTCCATAGATTGTATACAGAGGCACGTTTACAAGCATACAAGAGAAACTAGATTGAGCTCCCAGCCATCTGTTTGAAATGATCAGTATAATATAGTGCTGATGTTTAGGTTTCAGTGAGAAGCTGGCACATTCCTGTGCTTGTCGATACCCACGCGAGGAAACGTGTGGGTATCTGTGTGTGCTGGGTATTTGTACAGTATGTCCCATTGCGGGTTGGGTGACCTGTGATGTGTTTCTCTGTCTGGTAGGTCCTGCCCCTCCCTCCCTTCCCCACCAGCGGCAGGTTGCCATGGAGAATTCATCAGTGGCCTCGGCTTCCTCCGAGGCTGGCAGCACGCGCTCCCAGGAGATCGAGGAGCTGGAGCGTTTCATCGACAGCTACGTGCTGGAGTACCAGGTGCAGGGGCTGCTGACTGACAAGATAGAGGGGGATGGAGACGGGGAGAAGATGCAGTCTAACATTTCCCAGGTCAGTCTTCACTGCGGCTACACTGCCCTGTTCTTTCTTTTCCTAGCCAGAAAGCCTCTTTGTGGCTGGTATATCTGACCAGTCTGATGCAGCATCTCACACAGAATTAACGACAAAGTTGTGAATGGTTAGTATTAGCATTGCATGAGGAATGTTAACAGCATGCAGTGTTCAGACATACTTGAGTGCAGATTTATTTACCTATTTAGATTTATAGATTTCAAGTGTATGTTATTTGCTAAATGTATCAGGATTTGCTAAATAAACTTTTTGAAATGTAACCTCAGATTCAAGATGAGATAAGATTACCTACCTCAGTTTAGATAGGTTTACCATGTCATCATTTGTAATCACATTCTTGACAAGAACGCTTAAAAGCCATGTAGATATGGTCAGGATCCTTAATATAAAAGATGAATACCAGGTGTTAACTATTGTCGGCTCTCAGACTGGCAGAGGGTACAGCATACTCTGACAGAGAGGTTATTTGGTGATTTGTGCTTTAAGACTTCAATTATGCAAATCTGTACAGATAGTTCTTTAACCTTCAAAAGCCATGTTGATAAAGTTCAAGCTAAAGTTGCTTGTTTTCTTTAATCTAAGCAAATCTTGGAGTTTTGATTGCAGCAATGGCAATGGCCTGTAAAGCAGTTCGTGAAAAAATGTATGTCTTATACCACTCTGCCATTATAATTATCACTGGCGACCCCTATGGCACTCCTGATTTCAGTCTGTATTCTTTGATTAAATGGTCTTCTCTGCATACTACTAGCCTTTAGTTGGGAAATACCTTCTTGTTATCATAATGTACTTTAGTTCTCTGTGCCATGTTACATTTATGGTGTAGTTCACAGCTAAAACTTAATAACTTTGTGTCTATTTTTCTTTTCCGTTCAGCATGGAATAAATCTTTATTTGTAAATGTATGATGTAGTAATTATATCAAATTGAACCTCTTCAGTTTCTTATATGGTTAAATAAAAGATGCTGCAGCATTATAATGCAGCAATGTATTATTATATATTCTAATCATTAATATATTATAATTGTTGTATATACAGTATAGACTGTGCCCCTTATACATGTGCAGATATGACATTGGGAGGAACAGAATCATAAACACATTTCTTACAATGCATGTGGTCATGTTTTTTTGTCATAATACCCTGGAGCTAGCAGGGACATCTGAAGAAGGGCATCTCTTAAAGCACAGCCTCTCACAATATCATAACACCATCAGTGTAGTACATTAACGTTACATAATTAATAACTAGTGATTAAAATTTATTGTGTGTTTCAGTATTGTTCTCCAACCATCTCCAACTATTTTTACTCCTTTTTCATGGCTATCATGATAAATAAGCAGCTCATTTCAAACAAAAATGGCAAAAGTGGCTAATGTGGAACACATGCAGAAAGAAGAGCAGATTAAAGGCCGTTCCTCTCAGTTATGTAGATATGCTGACTGTCTCTGTGTAAAAAAAGCAGTGTAAACCTTTAGTGAAGTAGTAAAGAATGGGCTCAGCCTTTGTAAGACGAGCTGGATTTGAGACTTGAAAGTGAAAATGGCAAATCATCTGCTCTACTGCTGCCATATTCTACCTGTCTGGACAGCTGAACCTAGTACCCTGTTACTTCATGTTTGGAAAGCTGCTTAGGGGATTTATAACGTAATTCCAAATTTGGACGTACTTGCTCTGTTTGGTCGCCTTGATTAGCTAATCTTGTAAAGCAGAAGGGGAAAGTCCTACATCGTCCTTGTCTATTGTCTTAACTCTTCCCTCTGCCTCTCAAGAAAATATTTTATTTTTGAGAGGTTCACTTTTTACTGTTAATATTAGAATAAGAATTCCAAATGTCTGGTGTTACAGCACTTTACTGAAGGGGATGGCTGTTGAGAAAAGGGGAACACTGGACACCTGTGGATTTCTGTCTTCATTGATGCTCTCTTCTCTAGTTGCACACTAAATAGCAAGGTTTAATAATAATAAATGCTATTCTATTTTATAAGTAAAGTACAAATGTTGTGTGAATCAGACCAATTTATGGACCAATTTAGCCACTGAAGGATATAGTATATTTTGAAAGCCTGTTATGCCTATTAAAAAGCCAGGTAGGGTTCTGTTTTCTCACTTTATGCGTTATCTACTTATAGTATAAGACCATTCTTTTTACCAAGTCCAGTCAGCCTTTATCACACCCTGGGCTCTGAACAAAAATCTCTAGGCCTCAGTATCCAGCTTGCTTTCTGACCAGAAGCTTTTCTATGATATAGTACATGTCTTTTAAGACCCCTAATCATTAAATTCCTTACTTGTTGGGAAACTGTATATTTTAAGTGTATTTTTGTTTGCTCAGAAACTTGTTTTCCTGCTTAGCTAAACCTTTCTAGGTATAAAAAAGGTCAGATTTTACCACAATAAGCCAATTGTCACCCACTATGTTGAATGTTATGAATGAGGTTCCCTGTGTCACAAGGGTATTTTCTCTCCTCCTGCATCAGAGTTTCAGCATAAAGCTCATTGGCTCACGCAGAAAAAAACTTCAGTATACTGTAAATCTGAACTATTATGCTTCAGTGATGTACAGATACCTTTTTGTTCCATCTGGTCAGTTGTGGTGGATGTCACATTGGTATTTACTTGCTTGGTATTCTGCTGTTGTGAGTTGGGAGATGGCATTTAAAATGCCTAGTGAGCAGAAGGTAGCAAAATCCATTCAAGAGTACATGACACTGGAATTGGGATTGCCTGAGGTTTTTCTCCATTTCATTTTACAGAGTGAAAACAAATGCACTTTTTGGAATATCCTTTTGAAACACAGCTTCGAAGATGTCAGATATTTGTGAACCAGCAAAGAGTTGTTGACTCATCTGTTCTCAGCTTTAAAAGGCTCAGGGTAATGTTGGATATAGATTTAGTGTTTTGGACAGGGGGATCAGTTATACAGAATACATGGCCTTCTTACCTCCATTTCAAAAGCATGTAGACTGTGAACACTTGAAATCCACTGTTTTTAGTGAGGAATGCATGAAACTAACTAGTTAGTGAATGACAGGGGACCCCAATCTCCTTCATGGGAAACTGTTAAACTGGTCCAGTTAAACCTGTAATGACCTGACTGCGGTCACTGTGAGCTCAGCTGTCCGAAAAGCTAGACATAGCTTGACATACAGTACATAAGTCACGGCCCCCTCCTGTCTTGGAGTCCTTGCACTTACTTTCTATCAGGTTTTGTCGACTTCACAAATCCTCATGCTCACCTATTAGGTTCTTCATGGCTTGGCACCTCAATACCTGTTTGACTATCACCCTACTCCCCACATTTTAACCTTCATTCATCTAATTCTGGTTTTCTCTGGTCTGTCCTCCAATCCTGTCTATGCTCTCTGGGAGACAGGGCCTTCTCTTACTATGCCCCAGTGCTCTGGAATTCTATCCCTAAGGACAGTAACCTTCCCTGTGCACCTTTAAATCCACCCTCTAAACCTTCTTCCTTAAATGGGCTTTTACTTAATCACTTCTTTGTCTTGCATCTTCTTCCACATTCTGAGCCCTTGTTTTTAATTGTGCAGTTGTTTTTAATTGTTATTTTGTTGCCTCTTCTTAGTTGTATGTCTTGCTAAATTTGAAAGTAAAGGTTTTCTTAGTAAAAATTGAGAAGTAACTCGTAAAAGGAGCTACAGTATGTCAAATACAGATCATCATCCTTCATCTGTGGTGCAGGTGAACAATATCTACATTTCTTTCTCTTTCTTTTTCTGATCCAGTGGACTGAAGACTGCAGTGATAGGATTGATGGAAGCTGGTCCTCATCAAGGGGAAGGGGCTCTTCCAAACCAAACAACCAGGTAAAATTCACAGCGTGTCTCCAGAAAGCAGCAGTAGCATGCCTCTGTGCCTGACACCTGAGGGCACAAGAGACAGGAGTTTCTAGACACATGCTATACTGAAGTGTGATCATGCTTAGTTAAATATTGCTTGGCACGTAAAAACCAGAGTGGTCAAGCTGCAAAAGCCACATAAAAAAACTGCTATCACAGTTTATGATTTATTAACATAATGCAAACACATGTTCTCATTCCGTTCATGTGCCAAGCATGACAAATTATTTTGTTTATTATTTGAGTCAATGTGGTTGTGGCAGTTGCAGTTATGCCTTTAAATAATAGTTTTGGTTGTGGTTTACTTGGGTTAATTGTAGGCTTCTAATTTTTTCCTAAATAATGTATAACTGATGGATCAAAACAAAGCTGTGGCTGTCGGTAAAATCACAGATTTCAATTCATTTTGAGCAGCTTTCATCTGAGAATATTTTATACAATAAATCGATATATGATATCAAAACGCACAGCACAGATGAGATATTGTGCAAGGTTACCGAGCAAAAACATAATTACTGCAGTGCACAGTGTACTCAGGTCATCAACAGTAAACATTCTGCACTTTAATGTTGGTGGTGCCATAGGGAGACAAACTTTCTATTAATCATGCCACTTAAAACAATATTGCATTTCAAGAGCAGTTAATTATACACATAAGGTTTATGTCAATGTGTGAGACTGAACACAAGTAAATTAATATGTGAGAGGGCCATTTGCAGGTTTGAAAGTGTATGAGAAAGCAAATGTGTTTATGTTCTCAAATGCACACAAGAAAAAGATATGGATGCGATAGGGAGAGATTCTGTGTCAGCGAAAGGCACTGAACTGTCCTCCCCATGGTCTCCTGGCTCTTAATCAAAGTGGGCTAAGAGTGCCCCTGCTTTAACTGTTTGCTCATGCTGTCCTGGCACAGACTGCTTGTCTCTCTAATACTTCTGAGCCGATGACCAGCAGTTGTCCTGGTTGCTTGTTTGTGTTTGGTTTGTGGTCCGTTGTGTGGAGAGTGTGTGTGGTAGGCACGCAGCATGCGATGAATTGTCTACATTCCTTGTTTCTACAAATTTTTTGCAGAATATTGTTTTCTACAGTAGTACCAAAGGCCTTGGCTAGATTCATAGAAAAACAGTTAGGCTTTAGAGAGACACTTGTCCATTTCTGTTGATAACAGGCCATGAAATTGTTCTTGCAGCCTTTTCTTAAATGTTTTTTCGATGTGTGCGCTAAGCAGTATTTGCCTTATTGTGGATAAAGTTTCTTCCCCGTCTTTTTTGCTTTAGGAGCATTTTGCAAAGACTTAAAAGATGGCAGCAAATGGTCCTTTTCTTAGAACATACTGTATTGTTTCAACATTTGATGATTTCTAGATTCAAAGGTTTGCTGTTTAAGAACAGTATTTTCCAGTTTACTGTGTATTCTTATTTTATGACATTTGCCAGCAGAAAAACAATAGATATAATTACTTTGAGATTTTTATGGAATATGGATGCTAATTCTGCATTGTCTTCTCCTTAGGACTGATCTAAAAGAGGATAAGTGAAGTTTTTGCCTCAAACTAAAGGTGATCAACTAGAGATCATAAATACAAGTCTGTTGTCTCATATGTAGGAACCCCAGTGAAAGGGGAATAATGTCAAAAATACTCAGCTTGCTTTTCACGATACCCTGATAGTCATTTACAAATTGAATTTTATTAACAAATTTTAAGTTAAGCCTCTCTGCAATTTCTTGCTCACAGTAAAATAAGTCTTTTTTTCATTTTTACTGTCAACGCAGCATCTAAGCCAGATGGTATACATTATTATAAAACTTAATTTTATGTACAGTAGTTTTGAAATTGTTTGAAAAATGGATTTTATGCAAACACAATTCGACACTTGTATGAGCTGCCTCTTTTGTGCTGTAGTTCTTTTGTATGTTACACATTAGTGATTTGTAGAACATTTACTTCTGCTGGTTTTCACCTAAACCATTAAGCCCTTTACAGTTAAAGTACTGTAAAAGCATCAGACATAAGTCTGTGGCTCTTTTCTGTCTGATGTGGTTTCCACAAGTTGTGCTATCTGTGTGCCAGTAACTTACCATCTAAAGGAGGAAACCAAGTGTGGCGTCTCGCTTGCCATATCCAAAGATCAAAATTACCTGCACTGATACACACCATGTGGACAGTTTTCCCTTGGGTGAACCTCCTTTAGAACAAAACCTGCAGATAGAAGGGAGTCTTTTCTCTACCCTTTGGCTATTTTCCATCCCTTCTTCTTCCCCGCTGGGAAAAGGGTAGAGAGCACAGTTCAGACTGAGTGGCTTGTTTGTGTAGTAGGTGAGGCTGCGCATGTGTGTGCTCTTTGTTCGAGGCAGATTGATGCTGCTTCACTTTCGTTTTCCCGTGCAGCTCTGCTCTCTCAGGCTGACAGACCAAAATCCAAGGCTTGTGCTGTTCTGCACTTAATAGTTAAGGACTCGACCTGAGCGTTGTGATCTACCCTCTTGAGCAGTAGCTTGGTTGGTTTGCAGGATTGGGAAGCGGGTGAATCCTCTTTATTAGTGCAGTATTATTTACCATGGCACGGTTACACCTTCATCAGGTAAGCTACTTCACCCGGCGCTATCAGCATATTTCATAGGACTGATTTTATTCAGGCACCAGTTCTCTGGTTCTGTCTATATATAAAGATGTGTGTCGATGTAATTTTGCTTTTCACAGCTGGGATTACAGAAACAATTTATGGTCTCTTTCCAGAACTTGCTAGTCTGTTTTTGTACTGATTTGAGTTCATATTTTTGCAGTTTCTTGCAGTCTTATAGAAATAGGGATGAACCTAATTTCTTTTAAAAAAATCTCAGAAGTATCACAGCACAGATTAACTCTTTATAATAGCATCACCAAATCAAGATGTTTATTTCATCAGCATTTGTGTGTAAACAGTATTCAGTGTGAATTGTAGTAGCAGGTGAACTAAACAAATGCAAAACACAGTTTTAGGATAAGCAAGACCTGCTCACTAAGGCAACTGGGCAGGGCTTTTTTGTGTAATCTTGAATCTTCATGGGTATTTCAGTGGTTTGTAAGGGTGACATGGGCTCCTTTTAAAGTTTAGGGTAATTATCCTAGTAAAGTATGTCATGATTCACATTCACAAAATGAATTATGTAATGCAAGCATAAATTTAATTCAATAATTTGCAGTGTAAAACTTGAGAGGGAATTGTCAAACCTTCAGAATCAAATTATAAAGATCTGCTTATGTTTCTTAAAATGTCCCTAGTGTTCACATTATCATCAGACGTAATACAAACTGACATTTTAGAGCTTTTCCACTTCATCATTAAAGAGCTGTTAACATGACTAAATCATTAAATCAAGAAAAGGAAAATCTTTGTGTATAGTACTGATAAAGTTGTCACCGGCTGTAATACTTCCCTGTAATTAAAAAGAAGTAGAGAACATTCTATTTCTATCATGAAGTAAAGTTGATATGCTCAATTTACTGTATATAACTGGTACTTTCAAAAGAGCATTAAAAATAGTATTCAGCATTTACTTTTTTCATGCAACACCCCTTTAACTTTGCTTTTTGCTGATTTCTTCCCAGTTAAAAAACATTTTAATTATTTGGCAAACTTTCTCATTTAACATCACAGGTACTGTTGTAGTACTATAGTCTTTCAAGCAGAGTTTACAGGTGATGCTGATCATTATAGCTGGAGCCCATATAAGTAACTCATATTTCTATCCTGCTGTTATCGTTTGATATGTATCCATCCCTCCGTTTGCAAAGGAAGTTTGTTCCTCAGAACTGTTCATAATTTGATAGTTCTTAAATCAAATTCCCATTGTTTCACATGTAAAAGCTTACAACACATTCCTGAGATCTAGAAAATTACATAGTATCACTTGTTATATTAAGAGTATTGTGTTGTGAAAATAAGAACATTTTTGCATGTCTGTGATAATGATCAGATTTCACTTGGTACAGACAAATAAAATGCGAGAAATCTTTCAACTGATAAACAACAGTATGGCTTAGTCCAAAGGAATGCAAATACCTTTCCACTGTCTTTTTCAATCCTATCACTTCACATATTTCAGCAAGTGGAAATTCTTTCCTTTCTTTGCTTTTGCATAACCTGAAGCACTGGTAACACGTTATGTCAACGTACTGTAGTTAAAAATATGCCCTGCGATGGACTCCTGTCCCACCTTGCAACTATTGCATGCTAAGATAGGCTCCAGCTCCCCTGAATTGGATGGAATAGTTAGAAGGTGGATGGATGTTAAAAATAAGTAGTATGTTCAACTAATGACTAAAACTGACGGAACTAAAAATGACTAAACGTTAAGTACAGTAACTGAGATCAAAAGGGAATTGGCTGTAAAAAAACCTGTAAATTGAGCATTCAGATAACGGGGTGGATGTTTATAGTTACACGTTTAGTTTTGCCCTTTGTTGAATAAACCGTTATGACTGTATTTTGGATACAACATATCTTTTCATAGAATCCAATAATGCTAACTTCAGTATTTTAAACCGTTAAGGTTAAAAATGCTATGGATATCCCATACATAGTGAGTAGTTTTGAGCATAGTGATTATTTTGTTAAATAGGTTTGTCGTGAAAGTGCAATGATTGCTTGTTGTACTTTAATTTTAAAGTAAAATTTAATAGGAAGTATATTGTTGTAATATAAATGTCTAAAATTTAAAACGCTAGAAATATCTAAAATCTGTGGAATGGTGGAGTCTAATATAGAACGAATGGCCCACTTGAAACGCATTTAAATCAAATCCGGCCAACGACAGCAAATGAGTTAGACTTTAAGTAATGGCTTGAAAAAAATTCCTAGATCATTTACCATTAACAATCAACCAAGGAAGATGGACCGAATGAACGAACAAATGTCTGTAAGCTTTTCATATGTTTTTATCATTTGTCAGTGCCCGAACACACAATTTGGCAATGCTGTACTTCTTTTTTCCAAATGCAGCAAACATTTGACATTACTTATGCCTGCTTCAATGGAATGTTTTTTTTTCCTCTTAGTTGATTCTTTGGAATGTTCTAGTCTGCCTAGAATTACGAATCTGAAGGCTCACAATCAGAAATTCAGAATGTGACTCTGGAATTGTGCCCTATATAATTCACTTAAGTACTACCCTATTAGCGGTTAATATTTTTATGATTTGATTATTTCACCACTAATTGCTTTTATCTCTCATGTTTTCCTCACAAAGTTTGTTGATTTGATGTGTCCGGTGATTCATCAGGGTGCTCAGCTGAAATTTGTTTTCTTTACATTTTGCAAAGAAATGTTGTGATGTTTAACAATTGCATAATCTTTAATATTTAAATTTGTTTGAATCATTTTGTACAGTATTCTGTAATACATCTCCAAATCCACATTTTTAAGATAGTTTTTTTACAAAGTGAAAATAAGTCACAAATCAAGCTCAATAAATTACAGCATCAAAATTCAAAACTTCAAAAGATCAGTGCCATGAGGATGTATCCATCCATATACACTAGATAGATTTAAATATGGTCTTGATTTCTATTACATTTAACAGTGATATTGTACAATTCCACTCATTAATGCAGGTGCAATAGCCAATTGTACAGATTTTTACATGCAGGAGTTAGAGAGTTGCATGTTCTCTCTAGCAAGTATTAGAAAAGTCTTTAAGGGCAGCATAATACGTTTTCTTTAGAAACAGCCTGTACAGCTCCTTTTTCTTCCTGTAGCATTAAATGATGTCCCTAAACAGCAGACATTTCCCAGCAGTGTACCTCTTGATGAATGACTGAACTTTTTCGTTCCTGTCCTTGTGTAGTAAGATATTGTATTTTGTTTCTTTTCCTGTCAGGATGAATGGGAGCACAGCAGCAACGGCAGCACTGGCTCGAGGCCCAGCTCTGGATCAAGGCCTGGGTCTGGATCGCGGTCTGGAAGCCGAGGAAGGAACAATCAGTTAAGGGGCTCTGGAAAGGTACGGGGTCCTTGGGGACTGATGCACTGTTAGCATAGGACAGGACTGTCTTTAGCCTTTCCTTTAGACACTATTGATAGGAATGTATATTTAATTCATTTATTATACATTTTTATGAGTAATTTGTATTAAATATGCTGTGTTTTGTCGTTTTAAATGCATCATTGCTTTTAAAATCCCAACACTGAATCAGGGAGGTGTATGGACCTGATTTTATTTGTAATCCTTTGTTGTTGTAGGCATTTGTCCCTTTTTTAATGCCTCTCTCCCTTATTCATTCATAAATAAAGTCTTTCATTATGGAAAAGTGTGCTTTTAAAAAAAGTACTGCTTCTGAAATCCCTGGTACAGTTGGTGGCAAAAACAATGCAGTTACTCATTACTGTATGTTGTTCATGTTCAAGCTGGAAATATTTGTGAATCTTAGACCCCTTTAGGAAGTATGTTTTTGCTGTTTGATTATCTTAAAAAAACACCCATAGGTTTTGTATGTGAGTAGTTTGTATGTATATTAATTTTCAAAGTAGAAAATAAACCTAGAAATGGAAGTTTAATGTCATTGTTAATTACCCAGTAGATCTAATATGGTAAAAAAAGAGACTTTTCTCTATGCAACCCTGCATTCATTTGTTCCTCCGTTAATGTGTTTAGTGGCTTCATTAAATATTTTTAGCTGCATTTGCAGTTTCCCCCCTTTAAAATACTCCAGTTCACACATATAACAATTAAATCATGATTTGATGCCTACAAAATAATGATTTTCTCTTATATTTGTTCACTTTCCAGTAAGGCTTTTCTAGACTTTGATGAGAGGAACAATAATAATTAAATTACGTTATTTACTTCAGTTGCCGTTTCTCACAGTTTGGCATTAAATTGGTAACACAGTGATGAGTGGAAAGGTGTGGATGAGTTTTCTTTTTGGACAATTTTTGCAATTTCTTTTTTAAAAACAGAATGGAAACAGGGAGGCTTCTTTCGACATCCTGGGAACTGATATCTGGGCTGCCAACACGCTGGAGTCTCACGGGTAAGAACCTTCTTTTCTCCATGACTCTAGTTTTCTCAGTTATGGCTTCTAAGAGGTACAACCTCTGATAATACATGGCCGACTTTTCCTGTTGCCAGGAGCCTTTTGAAATCTGTCCACATCTGCAGAAGTCAGACCTAGCCTACCGCCAGGCTCGTCCTAAGCATTACTGGAGAAGTAAGAAGACACTGTTAGATTTTACCATCCTCTTACATATTCATAGATAAGTGACAGCTCTGAAAATTAACTCTTGGTCAGTGGAGATAAAACAACTTCATAAAGACAAAATAAAATCAACAGTAATTCACAAACTGGATAATTGTGGGGGCATATCATCAGTGGCCACTGAAGGAAATTATTTTTTGTTTTCACTGGCTTGTTTCTGGTTATAATCTAATGACAGTGTGGTTTTGCTGTGCATGGGAATCAAAAGTCTAAATTAGGAAACAGCTAAGCCTTGGGCTAAATATAATGAAATGGAAGCTGTGCATTGATCTGTAGTGATCTTCATTTTTAATAGAAATTTACACCCTCCATTGCTAATTGAAAGGAAAATGAACCTCTTATCAAGCCTTATAGAAAATACTGGGGACTAGAGGTATTATTTTGAAATTATGTCTTAGTATAATTACGTTGCTAAAACTAAAATTAGAACATGGCACAGTGCATGTTTGTTCCTCAGAACTATGAAGAAAAACAGTCCCAATTAGATACTTTGTGTGACTTAACTAAATCAAATGGAAAAATTGTAGTAATTAGAATTGTTCATATTATAACTGAAGCATTGATGGAGGAGTATTGACCCTTTATTTTTGTGTATTAATTTCTTGATGGTGAAAGGAAGCTTTTTGTTTCTGAGCTGGACTGGTATGGCTGTTGCTTGTATGCCATTGTATAACTGAGGTTACACATTATATTGTCTTAGAGTAAAGAAGATGGGACACCCTCCTAAAGTTACTGCCAAACTCTCTAAATTGATTGGTCTTGTACTGAGGCTTTTTAATATGCAATCAATAGGATTTAAAGTCAAGGACATGGCTGAAGAAAAAAGTTAGGGTATTCCAGTGAAACATCTGTGCTCCAAACCCCATTACCTTTTTCTGATAGCTCAGTTTCTTCTAGATGGTGAAGTGCCATTTAGCAGGTTAACTGATAAGTCATTTTTTTTGCCCGGACTGACTAGCGTTATGACCCAGGGACAATCCCGGAGATGTGCCAGTTCTGTCTTTTCTGTACAGTTTGCTTCCTTACAAGTCCTCTAGATTGTTGACGCCTGTGTGTGATTATTTTTTCTAATGCATCAAATTAATCAGTGGCTCTTTCTTAAGCTTTTCGATTTTCCTCTTTAAAATTGCAGATCACAGTTTCTAGTAGTTTCAATTGTGATTTCTGCACTCCTGGTAATGGGAGCAGCATACCCATATGGTTCCTAAAAAATCATCTTAAAGCACTTTGATAAAATATAAATCAAGCCTCTGATTTCCAGCAGTGTGTTTGTGTAGCTTTCAGAAACAAGGTTCTTTCAGTTAAGGTTAGTAAGTAACAATGAGGATTCAGTTTTATCTGAGATTTATCATGGATACAGATCCTGAGACAGAAAAGATCTCCCAAGATAGCAGATGTTGAGCCTTAGGAATTTGTTTATTTTGAACAGGGGAGCTACATGGGATCTTCAGCCTGAGAAGCTGGACTTCACACAGTTTCATCGAAAGCCCTTCCGTGGCACGCCAAAACACCTCCCTCACATCGACCGTGAGGGGTAAGACACTGCTTCCTGGGCTTCACTGGGAGGGGCTGTGGGATCGAGGGTGGTGTTCTTCCCTTATGACTGCTCAACTGGTTTTAAAATGATGGAAAGCAATGCAAAACTGAAAGGAGAAACAAATCAAAACACAGAATTCCGGGGGAATATACACTATACAAGATGAACCATTTCCTTTTGAGGAAAAAGTGTCTTAACTGACTGTCCTGTTGATCACAGCAGAATTTATTTATCCTGCTTGCTTGTAGTAGGTCTGAAACTCACCTGGATTTTGTACAGTCCATTTCAGATCCAGCAAATTGGCTTTTCTTGTAGAAATTTCCCAGTCAACCTGGGAATATCCTGAGAATTTTAATCAGTTTGTACTGTAATCCAGTGCTGACAGGTTTAATGAGAACATCTATATAAATAAATATTTCTTAGGCTGGAAGATTAAGTCACTTAATAGTAATAGTGGCACACAAAGTAGAAGGGGATACAGATTTTCTAGTACCAGTGATGAAATTCTTAAGATGGGTTTGAATAAGGAAATCACAATAGCAGCTGTTTTCAAAACTCCAAAATAACAGAGCATATGTAATCAGCAAAAAACACCTTTCTCATGACAAATCAAGGACAGTACTGAGTAGAATTACTGTAATGTTAGTGTTGTATTTCATTGGTGTAAATTCAGATAAAAGCACAGATTACTGGAAGGAACGCAGGTTCAGAACACACCAGCGCTGATAAAAAAACGTTAACATTTGATCAAAAGAGGAAATGCATAAAAAAGTTCTTCAATTTCAAAACCTAAAGACATTTTTGACAAGATTATCTGTTTTTGAGTTAATTTATGCTTTAGAGAAAAATTTTGGAAATAGACATTTTGTCATTAAGTTTATTTATCCAATACCTCTGCTTTAGTAGTTCAAAAGCATCCTTTTGATTGCGTGTACTTGTGTACAGTATGTGTGTTTTTTGTGAAATGTCATAACATGCATATAAAAAACTGACAAAAAAGTCTTTGAGCGTGACATTGCACAGGGGTGTTGTGGGTTAAACTGTCCTGCATTACCAATTGGGCTCCTCCTCTTGTAGGATGGTGAAGGGCAAGTTTGAAGATGAAGACGGCATCAACTTGAATGACATGGAGAAGTTCCTGCCAGCATTCAAGGTGTGTCTGCTCAGTCTTAAGATCTTCCACAAACAGGCTGTCTCCGGGGATGGGGCACTGCTTGATGCCATGTTCATAGTCTTATATGATTTTGAATAAGTAGCTAGGACTCATCTCAACAGCTGTTTAAGAACATATCTGTGACAGCTTGAAAGTAGTAGAAAAGTCTCTGCAGAGAAGGTACTGTATCTGTCTTTGATTTAAAGGCATTTTGCATATTCCTCAACATTATATCATTACCTTAGATTCTGGTCAGGTATAACTGATTGTGGGTTTCTAAAATGTCAGCTATGTCTTTTGTCTTGTGTTGTGGTCCCTATTCCATTTAGAAATGACATTCTATTTCTACCGTGCAGTCTTTCTTATATGAGGTGTTTATTAGCCTGGATCAGATGAAAGACAGCCTCAGACAGAATCCAGAAGATGTTTTTCTCTGTATGAATATTCAAAGCTGTTGAGATTAATCTCTATTTAGTTAAAAGCTAAGGTGGATTTTTAAAAAATAAAACGTAAATGTAAACTTTGTACTAAACATGTTTGTAATTTACTGTAACAAACCTTAAAACATTTAAGCACTACTGGAATGGTTTAACTTAGATAAATTGTTCAAGGTGTTTTGTACAAATTATATTGGGATTAATAATATCCCTTTCTCTACATTTTCTTAAACTACAGGGTTTATTCAAAAATAGAGATTTGACAATAAAGTAGCAGCATAATAAGAGACATAAAACAAAGTTACACATTAGATAATTTGTTTAAATCTTAGTAATGTACAGTTAAACTATTTTCATTAACCCCTTTGTCCATGATTCATATAACTGACATGACTTGTGTAATTACATTACATGAATATTCAGTTTCAAGTGAAGCAATTCACCCCTGCCCTAGAGCTTTTAAGAGTTTCATACTGTGATGTGTTCAATATGTTGTTGTTTTGCACATTGATAAAATATTTCAGTTTTTTCTTTGCTGAGTGAATTTTGCAGGATCATATTTGTTGTGTCTTTTTTCTTCAGTGGGCTTCATTTTATGTTCAATTTGTGTGTTGGTTTTTCAGGAAAAAGAATATTATGTGGTATTATATACAAAAATGAACAAATGTGAACAATCATCATGGTATGGCAGACTTGGTACATAAACGTGTAAGTCCACCAAAAATATAAAAACAGTTGTTAGGGTCATTTTGATGCTATTACTCGTTTCGAAAGGAGTCTTTTTTCTTTAGGTCACTGTTTCATAGAAATCAGCAGAGAAGAAAACCACATCTTATTGGAGACATCTTGTGGCAAATGCTTGTATATTGCACTCAGGAAACCTTACTCAGATTGCTGGCAGCAAGTTATAAAACCATACATACCATGTGCTACTACAAACTTTTAAGTTGGTAACAAGCGCCCTCTGGTGAAATAAAGAGTTCACTTGTCCCTGAATTTATAGAGGATTTTTATGTAAAAAAAAATAATTTGTTTTCACCTAGTAATATGAAGTCTTATCGCTTTTATTTGTAAAAATGTCAAGTACATCAGTAATTTAAGTCTTACGAGTTTAATGTAAAGTGATGAGAAAATCTTCATATATTCCAATATTCATAATAGTATTTCTGCCTTACTGCTCTATGAGCTTTTTAGTGTCTGTTCAGTTTCTCTTTAGGAAAAGTAACATTTCACAAGTAATTCACTATTCTGTACTTGTTATTTTCTTGGTTTCTCTTTTTTGTGTAAATGATCGATCATAGTCTTCATCCAAGGCCTGTATGTTTTCTAATTATTTTAAATATTAAGATTATATTGTATACCTTTATTTAACTTATGTGCTGATGTATATTGTTGTTGGTATTTCTGGATATATTTAAGTATAGAATGTCTTATATATTATGTTCTATGATTTTATTTTCTCATTTCTGGAAGGAAAACTCATTAGAATGAGCTATTTTAATTGATTAATCTCAACTCATAACTGGGCCTCATTTTGTGAATGGTACTGCTATGTGGTCTGCTAGTTATTTTATTTCTTAATTATACCACAAGTACAGTATTTTAACCACAGTCTTTTTTGTGGTTCACACTACATAGCCCATGTAGAGCTAATACTGTTGAATAATAGCATACAATTGAATAATAACATACTGTTGAATAATGACATACATTTTGCAAGACCCCTTACAGTGCTTCGCTGTGCTTCATTCAATTGCTCAATCTGAAGAAGTTGAACTCCCTGTTGTATTAATATTTTGATCTGTTACCTGAAAAGTGTGCTCTCAATCCAGCAGCTGTGCACTGACATCTAGTGGACATATTTGATCAAGGCATTCTTATTATAGTTGACAGTATCTCAAAGTAGGCCTTTGATTATTGAGTAGTCCTGCTTCTTTTGCTTTTCCTTTTGCAGCTCTGTTAATTAATTACTGAATTTAACTAATTGTTTGCTTCTATGTCGTTTACATAACTGATGACAACAGGTATTGAACATAACCCATAAGAAAGCAATGACAGTTTGCGACCCGTCGTTTGCAGTTGCTATAGTTGATGGAGAATTATACATTTTCTTATTCTCTCATTTGGATTTAATATATATTCTGCATTTGCTTAATTAAATACTGCATATGTAGTCTCACAATGTTTTCAGATTTAAAATTTGTCCTTTACAGCAGTTCTTGCTGAATGGAATGTCCTCTGCAAGCATGTGTTTGTGGCTGTCATCTTCAGAAGACTGTTTTCTGGATTGTTTTGTTTGATCTTCCCAAGTGGCGTTTTATAGTCCGAGGTTGATCCGTTTTTTTCTTACCTGCCTGTTCTTTCCTCTGCCAGGCAAATTCCTTCACTCTAATAAAAGTTCCTCAAGCTTGTTGTTTTTTCCATCTCTTCCTGCTGTTCTAAGCAGGCCCTGTTCCATGCTTCCCTTGGCTGTCTTCTAGATGATTTTGGTACTGAAGGGATGTGGTTGGTGTCCATGTTATAGTAGAGGCAGGGCTGATTGGTCGTGGGCTAAACTGATCCTTAAATAATCCTAATTTGGCAATGCAAACAGATGGATAGTTCTCAGGCCGACAGCTATATTGATCAAATCAATGTGAATTTCAAATTTGCTCTTAATGCAATAATTTCCCTGGGATTGTGTCGTAGTCATAGGACATACAAAGAGTGATGGGCAGCTTTAATGTTATCAAAAATCTGGACATATCTCTCCACTGTTTTGGATTCATTTGCGTGTCTGAATAGATGTGGTCCTGACAGTGGCGTACATTTATTTTTAACGCATGAAAGTGATGTTACAACAAATGAGAAACTTCTCAGGCTACAGATTTCTGTGGCTTCCTGGGCCAAAGTTCAGAATAACTCAAGAAAATTTCAAAGCAGGATTCTTGCAACCCAGAAAAGACCCGTCAGCCAGAAGGCAATACAGGGAGTACAAGACAACCCATTAAAAATACATCTTTTATGGTTATTTCTCCAAGGTTACTGGTGAGAAATGTCAGTGGTCAATGAAATAGTTACCACCAAAGCTAAACTGGACTTTCTAATGACTCATGGGGAAAAGAAAACTGTGCTGTATGCTTTTCTTTACAAAATCAGATTTTAGATCACAGCTTTCTACTTTACTATATCTTCTTGCACTAGCCAAGAAGAGAAGTAACATTGTAACATTATTTGTTAAATTGAACCTACACCTCCCTCAAAGAGTGTTTGAAAGCAGAAGTTCATCTTTACAGTATATAAGAAGCCCGCTGCAGCTCATAAATGAGTGAGGCTTTTTCTCCCCTTGAAGGGTATGCTAATGTGCTTTAACACCCTTAGGCAATATGATTCTGTCCTGATTGCCAGCCTGCTTGCTGTTTTCTGCTTCTTTCCTTTAGTCCTGTTTATAAACCCCACTAGTCAACTGCAAATTGTTTTGAAATGAGCAAAATAGAGAGCCTGACCAAATGTTTGGAATTAAAATTTTACGTTGACATTTCAGGCTGTACGTCCAGATGAAACTGCGTTTCAGGACATCCAGGGATCAAACATGTTAAATTGTGCATGTACTGTTCTGTAGTGCTTGAACATGTAGATTGAAAAATTAACCCAGACTACTGTACTTCATTTCTGAACCACCTGTTGCCTGGCTGGGGTTTTTGATGTTTGCTTTACCTGGTCTTATTTTAAGATCGTTGTCTCCCCCTAGCGGCTGAGTGGTGGAATGAATTCTCAAGGCTGCCAGGGCACAAGAGCAGAGTTTGGATGGAAGTGTACAAGCGAGCACAGGAAGAACAGCTCTCACTGTTGATGCCTAGCTGGCATGCACACACATCAGCACTGACATTGCCATGATCCCCAAGCAGCTGCTTGGCAGAGAACTAGCTGTAAAGCACACTGAGGTCAAAAGTGCTATATAGTGCCACCTTCCATCTGTGTGTGTATGTACCCGGGCCAGGAGAGGAAAGAAGCAGTGGACTGGCACCTCCAAGACATGAGACTGACATTTTACTTTTATTTCAATTTTCACATCCGTCCCTCCACCCAGGCACTTTTTTTTGCCTTTTAATAACAGGTAAACGACTTGCTTTTCTTTTTGCTCGTCGTTCTCTTTGAAGAAGGATTAAGGAGTCTGCACTCAAATGCACTAGTTTCTGCCTTTCCCTTAAGGAGAAATATTACCCATTGTCTTGGATATACAGTGATTTTTGTGTTCATGTTAAAAATAATTAAGTATGGCATTAATAGTAGTGTAAAATAACCATACGGACATAGTGGACACTAAATGGCTAGACATTTAAATTATGTTAAGTGTGTTGTTTTTGAAGAAAGTGTAAAATGTTCACGGTTCACCTGCTTTCTGCTTGGCTGGTTACAGGATGGTATATATACAGTGTTCTAAGAGAGGCTGATTTTTAAGCAGAACCTATGAAAATGCACTGAACTCGACTGTTTTCCAGCATTTTTCCAGCACTCCTCTCTCACCCCAGTTCTGTTTGGATCATCGATCCTGTTACACATGGTGTAACAGTGTTCACGGTG